GTGGTTCTCAAACTTTTTGGTCTTAGGATCTCTCTACACTTTCTTTTTTAAATTTTTTTTTTTTTTTTTTTTTTTTTTTTGAGATGGTGTTTCACTCTTGTTGCCCAGGCTGGAGTGCAATGGCACAATCTCAGCTCACTGCAACCTCTGCTTCCCAGGTTCATGTGATTCTCCTGCCTCAGCCTCCCATGTAGCTGGGATTACAGGCATGCACCACCATTCCTGGCTAATTTTGTATTTTTAGTAGAGATGGGGTTTTTCTGTGTTGGTCAGGCTGGTCTCAAACTCCCAACCTCAGGTGATCCACCCATCTCAGCCTCCCAAAGTGCTGGGATTACAGGCATGGGCCACCGCACCTGGCCTACACTCTTAAAAGTTCTTGAGGACCCCAAATAACTTTTGTTCATTGTGGATTGTATCTATCCATATTTCTCATATTAGAAATTAAGACTGAGAAAAGTTGTAAAACACAAGAATACAGATGCACACGTTCCATTAGCCATCAAAGTGATGCTTTCACCCATGCCCGTAGTCTCCGGAAAACTCCTGAGAGAATGAAAATTAAAAAGCCACCTATACAACAAAAAAAAGTGTCATTATTATTATGAAAATAGTTTTGGCCTTGAGGACTCCGTGAGAGGGTCTCAGGGACCCTTGGGGCTCTGGATCACACTTTGAGAACAGCTGATCTGGACTTATGATCCCTTTTCCAGCCCCTCTATGTGAGACCTCCCAGAGGCTATTAAGGGCCTTGAAGGAGCTTGGCAAAGAAAGAGGTGACAGCATGATTGAGGACAGCCACCCTAGGGAAGGCCTTCGGAAGAGGCTTTGGGGCAGCCCGGGTGGGTGGAGGAAGTCCCAGAGAGGCAGTTGGGAGGCCCATGACCCTCCATTTCAGAGAGGATGCCTGGGAGCCTGGGGAAAGCGCAACGGGTGGGGTAGGAGACTGACTGGGGTTGGGGCCACTCCCAAGCCTGGGAGAGCTGACTGGGGGTTTGTAGATCTTCATTTCCCAAAGTTGCCTGCTGAGAAGACGCGTCCCCGCACAGCAGGTTCAGGCCCTGCTTCTTCAGGGCCTCACCCTGAGATCAGGACCAGGTGCGCCTGAGGTGGACCAGGAAATACAAGGCAAAGGCCCACTGAGGAGGCCGCAGGTGAATCTGGTCTCTGTGGATCCTTTGTGAGGATGCGATGCTAAACCACACGCCCTCTCATCCATGACCAGCGAGAATTGGGTCACTCTTCAGGGCATGCCACAGACTCCTGCTTCTAGACGGGGCTTGGCTGGAGCCAGACTGGCCTTCAGGATTGTTCCGTCTCCACAGGGGACTCTGGCCTCCCGTGGGCTGCCACAGGGCCAATCCCAGTGAAAGAAATAAAATGATTGGATATGTTTATGTTATTAGGAAAAGGATTCAGCAGGGGGTGGGAGGAGTTGTTAATGGAATCACATTTGCAGCAACATAGTTGTCTAGTGTTCGGCAGCACTGTAGGGTGGCTGTCGCTAACAGTAATTTATTGTGTATTTTCAAGTAGCTACAAGAGAGAATTTTGAATGTTCCTGTCAACCTGAATAACAAAGACAGGCTCTCATTCAAAAGAAAAACATAATCAAAAGTAGGGCATTGCAATGGGAATATGTGCTCCATAGTAAACTGTGTGCATATTCCAGGAGGTAAAGAAAGACAAAGGTTTTTAAAGGAAAAAATGAAGTTTTGAAATAATTATCCTTGTCTACGAATATCAGTAACAAAGGTCACAGCAGTCCAAGGTTGGACAGGCAGTTGCTAGGCAGATGTCCTTGTAGAAGTAATTTTTGTGTGAGGTTGTGGCAGCCTGTGGGCAATGTTGTGATTTTTGCAGGATTTTTTGTGATCATTTTTGGTATTAGGCATACAAGCATAAGAATACCCTCTTCATGGCCTCCCCAGCTCTATTTGTTACCGTTTTTTGTTTTTTTTTTAACACTAGTGACTCCATTTGAATTCTAACGACTTTCACATTCCCGACACAAAGAAATGATAAATGTTTAAGGGATTAATATGCTAATTACCCTGATCATTATACATTGTATACATGTTTCAAAATATCACACTGTATACCATAAATATGTACAATTATGTGTCAATTAAAAATCATTATTTTTAATAATAGAACCAGAAAAAAAGATGCAGACCCTCTAATAAGGAGATGGGATCAGGAATGATTCCATGGTTAATTTAACCCACATAAACAACTAATCGAATTATGGTATGAGCGTTTATGTAAAGACTGTGGCAACAGGAAATGCCTGTCTTTAAACGCAGGGTTATCTAACCAGCACGCCAATCGTGAAAGATTAACTTTGTCAGAAACCAGGAACCATGAAGCAGAGGTCACTGTTTCCATCCTGTGAGTTTTCCACTGTAATCGGCAGCCTCCCACTGAGTTTATACCCAAGAGAAATGAAAACATATGTCCACGCAGAAATTTGAATACAAATGTTCATAGCATTATTCATAATAGCCCAAAGTGGAAACAACCCAAATGTTCAACAGTGGATGAACTGATGAACAAAATATGTATCCACACAATGGAATAAAAAGAAAGCGCTGATGCATGCTACAACATGGATGAGCCGTGAAAATACTGTGATGGGGAAAGAGACCAGAGACAAAGGGCCACGTGTTGTAGGATTCCATGTGTATGAAATGTCCTAATAAGCAAACTCATAAAGACAAAAAGCAGATCAGTGATCACTTAGGGCTAGGGTGAGGAGTGGCTGTTAGCGGGCACTGAGTTTCTTTGGGGGTAACGGAATTAGATAGTGGTGGTGATTGCACAATTCTGTGACTATACTAAAAACCAGTGGATTGTAAGAGGGTGAATTTTATGATATATGAATTACACCTCAAAGCTGTTACTTAAAACATATATGTGGAAAATAATAAGCAGTCACTTGCTATTCTCAATAAAACAGACCGCATAGGTAAGACCAATACTGTCACATCGTGGTTTTGGCTGAGAATGGGGAAAGTGAGCATAGTCACCCTTGTTGGTTCATAAAAATAAAAGTTTCTCTGGAATGACAGCCTTTTACCATGTGCCAGGTACTGTACTGTGCACTTGGCATATACCAATTCATGTAGTCCTTGTGACAGCTCCATGGTGCAGACATTTCATTATCTCCATTTTTTAGATGGGGAAATTGAGGTTAGGAGAGTTGAATAACTGCCCAAAACTGCACAGCTTCCGAGTTGCAGAGACAGAATTTTCACCAAGTCGTCTTGCAAACTCCTCGTGTGGATTGGAAATTCTGTATTAAGGTTAATTTATTCATTTGTTGTTTAGTTCTATTCATAATTACTGAGTTACCAATGGCAGTGCCAGAGGATTTACCATTTAGCCCAAAGCTACTCTAAATCTAAGAAAAAAACAATGTTCTTGCTGCTAATGTACAAAAAGGTAAAACCGTGATTCTCTTGCAAATAAAACATGAACATGTATCCAAGCTTTTATTTAACTCATTGATTGAGGGAACCAGTAAGATGTCAAAACCAGTTCAAATGGGAATTTGATGTACAGAAATTTATATTGTAACAAAATGTGTGTGGTTCACTGTAAGGAAACATTTGCTTTGGCAGATTAGGCACCCAGCAGATGCACCGGCCAGCTTAGCCTTTGGAGGGAGAATTCTTGTTATTGGACCCACACGTATCCTCTGTCCCTGCTGCCAGGAGCTCTCAGTTCATCGGCACATTGAGCAGACGTCACAGCAGCTGCATAGAGAGGCTGGCTGACAGCCACAGAGCATGTAATTCTGTCCATCTGATTCTGAGTCTCCTCTGCAGTGGATGCCCTTCAGTGGGCATTCACGTGAGACGCAAGTATCTTCAGTCTGTGCCCATTCAGAGGGGTTCAGCCACATATCTCTTTCCAAGATTTTCTTGTCACTAATCTTCCAGTCCTGTTCTTTTTAAGCCCCTGACCATCCAGCCTGACCATCCAGTCAAACCATCAGCGACTGTCCATGAATCAGTGTAGGTGTGTACTCTGGACATTTCTCACTCCAGACATAGACAACCTTGAGTTTCTGCCCACTGGAAGGATTCTCCTTCACCACTGTCCTTCACAGACACCCCCGAGTGAGTGTGAGTGAATGCTACAGCTGTTCCCTTTCATGTGGTACCAGCACATCATATAGACCCATCTATAATCTAGGCTGGAGGTTTTTCTCAGTCAACTGGCCATAAGTAGCATTCCTGGAGGCCATACACATGACATGAGGGAGAGGAGACAAAGCAATAGGAGTTGATGTTGGAAGAGTCTGAGCTACCTGCTCATACAATTTACAGTTCAATTCTGAACCTGCCTGGGCTAAGTTTCTAATACGCCACTTCCATTTGATGATAGATTGCTGCTATGTACATTTAACTTTATGGCTACATAGGTCAGATGACATCCAGTTCATGATGGGAGCTCAGACTCCATTGTATCTTCAGTGCTAAGAGGGGGAGGCCTAGCACCCCAAAGGCTCTTACTAAATATGAATAAATACAGCGAATATTGTCCCTCTAGCAGCCCCCAGGAGAATTCGCTCTTTTCCTGCCACATGCACCAGACCCAAAAGAAAGGACTCTGCAATACAGACCTGGGTGCTTCCCAATCTAGAGATGCAGATAATGCCCAAGGGAGTGGTCTGTGCGGGGCCATGCGCAGCCTTTCTCCGGCTCTCCTTAAGCGGAGGCTGAAGCCCAGCCCAGCTTCCCAGACTGTCCCCTCAGGTTCTTTGTCCCCTCAGGTTTTTAGTCCCAAGGCCTGGAGCTAAATAACCCCCAAAGAGTGTCACCGTGCGCCTGATCACTACGCGAACACGTGGCAACGCGGGGCCTTGGGGACTGGAACAGGTGCAGTTGGGATTCCCATCAAAGGCTCCTCTCCCAATCTTGAGAGTAAACATCCGGGCCTGGGGGCTGGGGCGGGGCATGGCAGCCCCTCCCTGGGGGAGGGGCGGCCGGGCCAAGAAAGCCTGCGAAGGCCCGGAGCCGCAGCAGAGGCCGGACCATGGCTGACCCGCTGCAGCAGCGCACCGAGCAGCTGGTGGCGGACTACCTGGAGTACTGCTCCCGGGAGCCCGGCACCCCCGAGTCGCCACCGGCCACGGCCGAGGCCGCTGTGCTGCGCGCCACGGCCGCCGTTGTACGGAAACTCTACCCGTCCTTCTTCTCCGCTTACCGCGGCTACCCCAGGAACCGCGTCGAGCTGGTGGCGAGGATGGCGGAGGCCTTGCTCTCCGACAGTCCCGGTCCCACCTGGGGCAACGTGGTGATGCTCCTGGCCTTCGCGGGGACGCTGCTAGAGAGGGGGCCGCTGGTGACCGCCCGGTGGAAGAAGTGGGGCTTCCAGTCGCGGTTGAAGGAGCCGGAGGGCGACGTCGCCCGGGACTGCCAGCGCCTGGTGGGCTTGCTGAGCTCGCGGCTCGTGGGGCAGCACCGTGCCTGGCTGGAGGCTCAGGGCGGCTGGGTGAGCACGCGGAGGAGGACGTGGGGCGGGATGGGCACCTGGGAAGGGCCCGCCCACGTGCCCAGCACGAGGAGGGACCCACCGTGTCCCTGGAACGAGGTTTCTTGAAAGCAAAAGGGCTCATTTCAGCAGGACTGGAATGCTCGGTGTGAGGTCTGGGGTTTCTCCTCCCTTGGCAGAAAGGCTGGCAGGAATAGGCCTTGTTAGATGGCTGTCTATGAACTTTTCCGAAGCAGCCGCGCACGGCTTGGGTCTGCTCCTTTGGACCTTGGCCTGGCCTTAGGTCGTCATCGGGGGCTTTTGGGGGCACCCACGTTAGGTCTGAACGCTTTGCCCCTATAGAAATCACCAACCAATGAAGTCGGCAATTGGGGGGCCAGGCCAGGTGGGGTATTTTTCTCCTGTGCCTATTAAATGCGCCTTTGGAGAGACTCAGACTCATTAATCATAACCCCCAACACCTCTCAGCCTGGCAAGAGGGGCTGTGGAGTGTGCTGGTTGCCCAGTGGTGGCGCTTACCCAAGGTTCCCTAACTTCTCATTCTAATCCGCTGGTTTCAGCTGCAGTCCTTAATCTCTGTGGTCAAGGTTAAAGGGATAGGCCTTTGGTCTGCAGCTATTAATCAAGGAAAGCCACCTGGTGGTGACACGCCCCACCCCCCCACCCCCGCGCATGGCCCCAGGGTTCTGAGCTAGACCCCATTTATTTCCTCACCAGCTTATTGGCGTTGATTCAATGACTGAGGTGACCCATATTATTGGATGCTTATGGCCAAACTATTAAAACCAGCAAGTTTTTTGATCCAAAATTTAGCCTCCTGTGGGTTGTTCCCATTTAGACCTTGTATAGTGACAAGTTGCGTCCTGAGAAAGGACAGGGAGTGGGAGGTGTATCTTGACTTCCTGCCTTGTTCATGTTCCTGTTGGTGTTCAGCCCTCTGGGCCGGTGAACTCTTTTCAGCTGCCTGCCTAGAGCCTCACCTGAGCTCTCAACACAGCCTCTGGCCGCTCAGGGCTCAGTACCTGAAGAGATGAGAATTGGAAAGAGGCCCTTGAAGGTTTTATTTCTTTTAAGAGACAGTTTTGCTCTTGTTGCCCAGACTAGAGCGTAATGGAATAATCTCAGCTCACCGCAACCTCTGCCTCCCGGGTTCAAGTGATTCTTCTGCATCAGCCTCCCAAATACCTGGGAATATAGGCAGGCACCACCACGCCCGGCTAAATTTTGTATTTTTAGTAGACACAGGGTTTCTCCATGTTGGTCAGGCTGGTCTCAAAGTCCCAGCCTCAGGTGATCCCCCTGCCTCGGCCTCCCAAAATGCTGAGATTACAGGTGTGAGCCACCACGCCCAGCAAAAGTGTTTGTTTTGTTTTGTTCATGTTTTTGGCTAATCACTGTTGGCTAAAGAATAATCTCTTACATCAAGAAGCTGAAATTCTCGGTCAGGTGCCGAGGCTCATGCCTGTAATTCCAGCACTTTGGGAGGCCAAGGTGGGTGGATCGCCTGAGGCCAGCAATTCAAGACGACCAACATGGTGAAACCCCCCCCAACCCCCTCCCCATCTCTACTAAAAATTAAAAAAAAATGAGCTGGGCATGGTGGCAGTCACCTGTAATCCCAGCTACTTGGGAGGCGGAGCCAGGAGAATCGCTTGAACCTGGGAGGTGGAGATTGCAGTGTGTCAAGATCTCACCATTGCACTCAAGCCTGGGCACCAAGAGCAAAACTCCATGTCAAAAAGAAAAAAAAGAAGAAGCTGAAATTCTCAAACTGGGTGAACGGTTCACCTTCGTCTCTGCCCATTGCAGTTAAAATGCCACAGCCTCGAGTTCAGTTCCCTTCCTAAATGGAGTTGGTGCTTGCTGTAGTATCACGTGATAACTTTTCAATCTAGTGACTTGACAGTTTCCCAAAGGGCATCTCTTTGCTCAGAAAAGAGAGTCATAATCTACCTTCCTCTTGGTTTTGAGTCAAGATACGAGTGTTCCTACACCAAGTGTCAAAGTCAAATGGTTGCTTCTGTCCACTCTGTTAGACTTAGCAGTCCTCAGGGGCTCCTCATTACTGCATGTGTATTGATCAGAATTTCCTTCCTGTTCATCTTTAAATCCAAAGATTGCTTTGCTGTTTAATCTGCAGGTTCCCACGTGTTTTCAGGGAGGCTCTCAGCATCATGAGGCAATCTAACTTTTCTCTTGCCCCACTGTAGGACGGCTTTTGTTACTTCTTCAGGACCTCCTACTCGCTGGCATGGAGAAAACTGCTGGTCCCGGTTTTCCTGTCATGGTTGTTAACAGCAGCATTCATCTACTTCTGGACACGATAATTAGGAGTTTTAAAATTTTTAGCCCACTTCTGCCTGCCCAACTGTGACCAACGAAGTGACCGAGGGGTGAGCTCCAGAACGGAGAGAAAGCACCGTCCTCCCACCCCAGATATTTTTACCTGAATGCATACAAGGAGCCCTAAGGTGATGGTTTGGCCAGTGTTTTAACTTGTGACAAGTACTCATGTGTGAGGACAAGAATGCAGATGGCTCTTTCTTGAGTGGGAGAAATGGGGAGTCTAGTGCCTCATTATGCCAAAGAATCGCAGAAGAAACTGCATTCCATTAAATGGGAAATAGGGTGCTATTTGCTGAAACTTGGATAAGAGTGAATGTGAACATCTCATCTTCACAACTTCATGTGCTGCTGACTCATTTTAATCTTGGCCACAGCTGGGGCAACACAAGCCCCAAAGCAGAAAAAGTCCCACTTTAACAAGGAATGTCACCTTAAAATCATTTATAAGGAATTCTTTGAGACCAAATCCTTTGAAATTTAATGCCTGGGACATTTAGGTTTTTATAGTTAACGTATTAATTAATAAATTGTTAACATTAAAGTTTCAATAAATTTATATCTTAAAAATAGTGGCTTTCCTGATTCAATAAGCCCTCATTCTTAGGAATAAGTTGAATTGATGACAATTTGTTTTTATTGCCTCCTTAAATATGCATGTAACAATGCTTGATTTTTTTTTTTCCAGCAATGCACAAGCTCATAAAAAGTCCCTCATTTCTCGCCTCCTCCCATTCTGCAGTCAAACTATCACCCACCTGCAAGGTGGTTAATTCATGATTCCCTGCAGGCCTTCCTACCTGTTATTATACTTTTATATATATACTTTTATATGTACTTGTTATTTTTTTATTTTTTTATTTATTTTTATTATTTTTTTTTATGTATGTATACTTTTTATTTTATAAAACGTAACTGGACCTGCTCTTTTGACTTAGGAGCTCTTTTTTTTTTTTTTTTTTTTTGAGACGGAGTTTCGCCCTCGTTACCCAGGCTGGAGTGCAATGGCGCGATCTCGGCTCACCGCAACCTCCGCCTCCTGGGTTCAGGCAATTCTCCTGCCTCAGCCTCCCGAGTAGCTGGGATTACAGGCACGCGCCACCATGCCCAGCTAATTTTTTGTATTTTTAGTAGAGACGGGGTTTCACCATGTTGACCAGGATGGTCTCGATCTCTTGACCTCGTGATCCACCCGCCTCGGCCTCCCAAAGTGCTGGGATTACAGGCGTGAGCCACCGCGCCCGGCCGACTTAGGAGCTCTTTCTCTCCAGAATGTGCAGCTCTCCTTCACTGTTTGGACTGTTGCAGTGCATTCTCCATTATCACAGGATACGCTGATTTAACTACCTTGCCACTGCTGTGTATTTCAGGGTGTTTCTTTTGGGGCTACTGGAAACATTGCATGGAGCTTTTTTGTCTGTAGCCTTGTACACATGCATGATTACATTGGTAAAAGCACCCTAGAATGAGAATATAGAGAATCTAGTCCCAATTGACATGTATTAAAATTTGGCTACTATCAAGTTATTACTCAAAATAGGCTAGTGCAGTCCAAACTTAGATCAGGGCATGAGAGTGCTTAGTTCTTCACACTTGGCAGTATTGGATTTTTTTTTTTTTTGACTTGGTCTGTCACCCAGGCTGGAGTGCAGTGGCAATATCTTGGCTCACTGAAACCTCCGCCTCCTGGGTTCGAGATTCTTGTACCTTGGCCTCCCAAGTAGTTAGAATTACAGTCGCCCGCCACCATGTACAACTAATTTTTGTATTTTTAGGAGAGACAGGGTTTCACCATGTTGCCCAGGCTGGTCTCAAACTCCTGACCTCAAGTGATCTGCCTGCTTTGGCTTCCCAAAGTGCTGGGATTACTAGAGACGTGAGCCACAGTGCCTGGCCAGATCATTCTAAATGTTTGACTTTATGGCGTCAGGGTTATTGCAGCCTTCTTGAGGAAAATCCGTGTGCCAAGAGTATAAAAAGTATTCTATGTCCTTGGTCACTAATCCATTCTAAATTTTTTTTGGTGAAGTATGAAGTAGGGCTCATTTCTTGAAGAGCAGGGGTAGATATTTCAGCATTACTCACTGACAGTCCTTTTCTCCCCTCCTGATTTGAATATATTTTCCATTCTGTTCTGACATCTTTTCATCTAATAGCACTGTCTCAACTGCTATATGTTCCCAGTATATTTGAATACCTGATGGGCTAAGTCTAATCCCTTTCCCTATTTTTCAGAAAAATCCTTGGCTCTTTTAGTGAGTAGTGTAAGGTGAGTTTTTTAAAAAGCAGCTTATGGCCGGGCGCGGTGGCTCAAGCCTGTAATCCCAGCACTTTGGGAGGCCGAGGCGGGTGGATCACGAGGTCAAGAGATCGAGACCATCCTGGTCAACATGGTGAAACCCCGTCTCTACTAAAAATACAAAAAAAAAAAAAAAATTAGCTGGGCATGGTGGCGCGTGCCTGTAATCCCAGCTACTCAGGAGGCTGAGGCAGGAGAATTGCCTGAACCCAGGAGGCGGAGGTTGCGGTGAGCCTAGATCGCGCCATTGCACTCCAGCCTGGGTAACAAGAGCGAAACTCCGTCTCAAAAAAAAAAAAAAAAAAAAAAAGGCAGCTTATAAAATCCATTCAGAGGCCTGGCACAGTGGCTCACACCTGTAATCCCAGCACTTTGGTGGTGGGGGCAGGAGGGTGGGATGGATCTCTTGAGGTCAGGAGTTCAAGACCAGCCTGGCCAACATGGCAAAACCCCATCTCTACTAAAAATACAAAAATTAGCTGGCTGTGATGGTGCACACCTGTGCTCCCAGCTACTCCAGAGGCTGAGGCAGGAGAATTGCTTGAACCTGGGAGGAGGAGGTTGCAGTGAGCCAAGGTTGTACCACTGCACTCCAGTCTGGGTGACAGAGCAAGACTGCATCTCAAAAGAATCCATTTAGGCCAAATATGGTGGTTCATGCCTACAATCCTAGCACTTTATGAGACCAAGGCAGTATGATCACTTAAACCCAGGAGTTTGAGACCAGACTGAGCAACATAGTGAGACTGTCCTTACAAAAAGAAATGTTTTTTAAATTAGCCAGTCAGGTCTGAAGAAAAAATAGAATAAGGAGGAACAAAAACCCAAAAATTACCCAGGCATGATGGCGCATGCCGGTACTCACAGCTACCTAGGAGGCTGAGGTGGGGGAATTATTTGAGCACAGGAGGTTGAGGTTGCAGTGAGCCATGGTCACACCATGGCATTCCAGATGGGGTGACAGAATGAAAGTGGATCAATTTGGAAATATATAGTATCTCTTTACAATATTGTCTTCCCTGGTTTTTGTTTGTTTTTTTGAGACAGGGTTTCACCGTGTTACCCAGGCTGGTTTCGAACTCCTAAACTCAAGCAATCCACATGCCTTGGCCTCCCACAGTGCTGAAATTACAGGCATGAGCCACCACGCCCAGCCTAATATTGCCTTCCTTTCTAAGAACATAAACTCCTGCTCCATTTACTCAGGTGTCTTATGGTTTTCTTTCTTCCCCCCTCCACCCCCAGAGGAATCTCACTTTGTTTCCCAGGCTGGAGTGCAGTGGTACGATCTCGGCTCACTGCAACCTTCAACTCCTGGGTCCCGGTTCAAGCAGTTCTCATGCCTCAGGCCTCCCGATTAGCTGAGATTACAGGCACATATCACCAGCTAATTTTTGTATTTTTAATAGAGACAGGGTTTCACCATGTTGGACAGGCTTGTCTTGAACTCCTGACCTCGTGATCTGCCTGCCTTGGCCTCCCAAAGTGCTGAGATTACAGGCGTGAGCCACTGAGCCTGGCCTGTGGTTTTCTTTATATAGGTTCTATTTAGATGTTTTCCAGCTCTTTGGCTTCTGTTGCTATTGGGAATGGAATCTGTAGAAGATGTCTGCCTTCCCCAACGCCATGTGCTCTTGTGATGACAGCTCAGTTTTCCTGTAAGAACCTACCCATCCTCTGTTCTTAACCATGTGGCTCTGGTGGGGTTGACTCCACACTTCATTCCACTCTAAGATCAGGAATATGACCCACATCTGTCCTAGAGAGCCAAGTCCTAAGCAAAGCTGGCAGGGGTCAACATTAGAGTTTCTGTACACGCTATCATACGACACTTCGTTTCCACCAGAGTAAGGAGGGAACCTGCCTGGTGGAGAACACCACACAGAAGGAGAGAGTCTAAAATTCAGAGGCAGAATGGAGTGTGGAGAAACCATTCTGGTGACATTACTTAAATCTTACAATTTGGCTGTACCTAAAGCTACTTGGGACTCAGATTTCCTTTTCTGCTTTATTGTTTCAAGTGAAAATTCAGTCCCAAATTCGATAATCAATTTTTCCTGTTACATTTATTATTCGGTTATGGCTGCCATAAAAAGAAACTTAATATAGATTCTAAACAGGCTACTTTGAACTTCCAGTAGTTCTGATTCTTTTTCAACACTTAAACTTTCTTTTTCTTACGTAGCTGCACAGGTTCGTGAAGGATAGTGATAACTGTTCTCTGTCTACAAGTAATTCCCTCCGTTGCTGGTCTATTGATGGCCACCTTTTCTTCTGGCATTCTTTTTCACTTTAGCATTTGAAGAGGAAGATGTGGAGGCCTGGCTTAGACCACAATTCAACCTAGACTCTCTCAGGTTGTCTGAGTCCGTTACAGATTAGACACACATGGGTTCATCTCCCATCAGTGCGCTGAGCTTGATAGCACAGTGGTGAGGCTTGCCAAGGTCAGGGAATGATTTCGTCTGGAATGGCTGCAAAAAGGAGTTTTCTCACGTAATAATAATGTCATTGTTTTCAGGCACGTGGATGCTTCTTCCACAGCTAAATATTCTGGGCTCATAAGAGGAAGGATCATTAGCACGATGCAGCACTGATTGCTAGGACAGTTCCAATTCTCTCAAGAGGCAGATTCTTCAATCCTGACATACCATCACCCATCAGCTGGTCAATCACAGGTCTGTCCACTCCAATAGCAGTTCTTAAGGTGTGACAGTCCTGAAGTCTTGGAGATCAGGGACTTTTGGCCTGATAGGCAACCCTTTGTCTACTTTGAAAACTAATGTTATATTCTCTCAAGTATTTCCTGCATTTCTAGCTTCTAGCACTTCCAGGCAAATGTTTGCTTCACTCATTGACTGTTTTTTTTCCAGTTGTACTTTCCCTGTAACTTTGGAGTCCTTCTGCACCTGCCTCCCTTATCTCCCTGTTTTTCCCCACTGGCACCATGATCATTCCCAGTACATATTAATCAAAGTGTGCTCTATTCTCCCTCGGTGTTCAAATCCTTACTAAAAATCTTAGTAATGACCTTTGTTATCTTTTTAATGGCTCACAGGTGCACAAAATCACATTGATTAATGTGATTTGTTCATAACATATTCCTGATTGCTTTATACATGCATGGTTGTCTTTTTTTTCTTTTTTTTTTCTTTTTTGAGACCAAGTCTCACTCTGTCTTCCAGGTTGGAGTGCAGTGGCCTAATCTCGGCTCACTGCAACCTCCACCTCCCAGGTTCAAGCAGTTCTGTGCCTCAGCCTCCCGA